AGAAGAATATAGTCGAAACCAAAGGACTTTGGAAATGGTCCCATGAAGTCAATGCCCCACACATCAAAAATTTCAACTTGCAAATTGTTCACAAGGGGCATCTCATTCCTTCGGCCAATATTCCCAATTCTTTGACAACGATCGCAAGACTTGCAAAATTCATGAGCATCTTTAAAAAGTGTAGGCCAGAATAAACCTGATTGGAGAACCTTAAAGGCAGTTTTTCGACCTCCATAATGTCCTCCACAATGAAGCTCGTGGCAAAAGGTGAGAACGTCCAATTGCTCTTCTTCGGGCACACACCTCCGAAGGATTTCATCTTTTCCCATCTTGAAAAGGAATGGGTCGTCCCAAAAATAACTCATGAACATCAACACAAAACGTTTCCTCTCTTGGGAAGAGAGGTTAGCCAACAAGACACCATCTGACAAATAGTTCACTATGTCTGCATACCAAGGCACACTAACCACTTCATTTGCATGCTCATATGGAAAATCATCATTTATGCCTACATGCTCATGCAATGCAAGTGAAGGGTCTGAGGGAATAATGCGAGATAAATGATCGGCTACAACATTCTCACACCCTTTTCTATCTCTAATCTCTACATCAAATTCTTGCAAAAGAAGAATCCACCGAATTAGTCTAGGTTTCGATTGAGTTTTACTCAAAAGATACTTAAGAGCTGCATGATCAGAATGCACAATCACTTTAGACCCCAAGATGTAGGATCTAAATTTTTCAAGGGAAAAACCAACAGCTAATAGCTCTTTTTCGGTGGTCGTGTAATTCAATTGGGCACCATTTAGGGTCAAGCTAGCATAATAAATTACACGAAGCAATTTATCAACTCGTTGGCCCAAAACGGCTCCCACAGCAAGGTTCGATGCATCACACATAATCTCAAATGGCAAAGACCAATCAGGGGCAATAACAATGGGAGCAGTCACAAGCTTATTTTTCAATATATCAAAAGCATCTAAACATGCATCATCAAATACGAATGGTACATCATTGGCAAGCAAGTGACACAAAGGCTGACTGATTTTCGAAAATTTTTTAATTAATCGCCTATAAAACCCAGCATGTCCTAAGAAACTCCTAACACCTTTAACATTCACAGGAGGGGGGAGTTTTTCAATCACATCAATTTTTGCCTTATCAACCTCAATTCCACGACTAGATATCACATGACCCAACATAACTACACTTGTCACCATGAAGTGACTTTTCTCCCAACTCAATGTCAAGTTAGAATCAATACACCTCTCAAGGACACGAGACAAATTATGGAGACAATTAGAAAATGAAGTGCCAAAGATAGAAAAGTCATCCATGTATACCTGCAAGCAATCCTCGAGAATGTCGAAGAAAATGGAGAACATGCACCGTTGGAAGGTCCCGGGTGCATTGCATAGGCCGAAAGGCATTCGTCTGAAAGAAAACGTGCCGAATGGGCACGTGAAGGTTGTCTTGGGTTGGTCCTCCGGAGCTATGTCCACTTGGTAGTAGCCCGAGAGTCCGTCAAGGAAGCAATAGAACTAGTGACCCGAGAGTCGGTCGAGAATCTGATCA